GCCATGATCTTGTTATTTTTTAGTGCTGAGTAATATTCCATTGTGTATAAATGCCACATTTTTTTTATCCATTCATCTATTGAAGGGCATCTAGGTTGGTTCCACAGTCTAGCTATTGTGAATTGTGCTGCTATAAACATTGATGCAGCTGTGTCCCTGTAGTATGCTCTTTTTATGTCTTTTGGGTATAGTCTGAGAAGGGGAAAAGCTGGGTCAAATGGTGGTTCCATTCCCAGGTTTCCAAGGAATCTCCATACTGATTTCCAAATTGGCTGCACCAATTTGCAGTCCCACCAGCAATGTATGAGTGTACCATTTTCCCGCATCCTTGCCAGCACTTGTTGTCTTATTCCTAGATATTCTATCTAGTTTGAGTTGACTCTGCTTCAGATGAAAGATAGTGATTTACTTTCAATCTTCTATGTATGGATATCCAATTTTCCAGTACCATTTATTAAACAGGCTCCCTTTTTTTCAACATAAGTTTTTGGCTCCTTTGTCAAGAAGAAAATAACTGTGATTGTAATGATTTGTCTCCGTGTCTTCTATTCTGTTTCATTTTTTAGATGTGTATTTTTATCCCAGTACCAACCTGTTTTGTTAGTACAGTTCTGCAATATAATTTGAAGGGGTGTTGTGATGCCTCCAGCTTTACTCTTTTTCTGAAGAATTAATTTTCCTATTCTGAGTCTTTTGTTCTTCTATATAAATTTTAAGATTTTTTCTATATCTAAGAAGATTATCATTGGTATTTTTATGGAGATTGCATTGAATCTGTACAGTGTCTTTGGTAGTATGGCAATTTTAATGACATTAACACTGCTTATTCATGAACATGGACATTTTTTCCATCTTTTGCTTTATGCTTTGATTTCCTATTTTGTAGTTCTGTAATTTCCCTTGTGAAGAATGGGGTCTTTGACTCCCTTGGTTAGATTTATTTCTAGGAATTTTCTGAAGCTATGTTAAATAGAATTGTTTTCCTGATTTCTCTTTTGGAAGATTCATTACTGGAGTGTAGAAAAGATACTGATTTTTGTAAATTTCTCATGTGTCTTGCTACTTTGCTAAATTTATTTATAAACTCTAGAAATCTTCTGGTGGAGCTTCTAGAATATTCTAAGTATAAGAAAATATCATCTGCCAACAGTGATAATTTGACTTCTTCCTTTTTTTGTTTTTATTCCTTTTTACTTCATTCTCTTTCCTAATTGTTATGGTTAAAGTCTCAATTAATACATCAATGCAGTTTTGCTTATTTTTATGGTACTGGGGATCAACTACTATATTGACTGGGAGTTGTACAATGGGCATCCTTGTCTTGTTCATGATATTAGAGAAAATGATTTCAGTTTTCTTTGTGCAGTATGATGTTTGCTTTTGTTTTGTCATATATAGCATTTATGATGTTAAGCTAAGTTTATTCTATATCTAATTGAATCATGTTTTTTCACCATGAATGGGTGTTGAATTTTTTCAGAGGATTTTTCTGCATATGTTGAAATGATTGTGGGATTTCTGCCCCTGATTCTACTTATGGGATATATTGCTTTCATTGGTTGTTTAATTTTGAACCACTGTTACATCCCTGGAATGAAATCAACTTGCTCATGACATACAACAAATGTGTTGATAAATATGGTTTGCTAACATTTTATTAAGGGTTTTTGCATATATGTTCATCATGGGTATTGGGGTATATTTTTCTTTCCTTGAAGTTTCCTTTTTTTTCTAATTTTGATATAAGGTTTCTATATTTTAAGAGGCTCTTAGAATGAGTTTACATGTGTTTCCACCATTTTATTTTCTAGAAAAAAAATGTAAAGCATTAACATTAGTTCTTCTTTAAAGGTCTGGTGGAATTCATCAGTAAGTCTATCTGCTTCCAGAATTTTCTTTCCTGGAACGCTTTTTATTTCTGCTTTATTGCTCTTGTTTGTTATTGGTATCTTTTGGTTTTCTACATTCTCTTTGTATACTTTTGGCAGGTTGTATGTATTTAGAAATTTATCCATTTCTTCTAGATTTCCCAATTTTATTGGATTAAAAGTTTTCAAAATAGTCACTAGTTACATGAAAATAGAAGTGAGAAAAACAATAGGTTAGAGGAAGAAGATAGAGAAGGGGGGAGAGCATGTCGAAGTACTAGGGAACAAAATCTACCAAATTATGCTATATCCATGTACAAATATTCCACAAAGAATTGTGTGTATGTGTGTGTGTGGAAAAAAATATATATATGTGTGTGTGTGTGTGTGTGTGTGTGTGTGTGTGTGTGTGTGTATACATATGTATACACATATATATATCACTAATTAAAATAATAATAATAAAAATAGCAGTAGAACATGGGAGGAGGGAAGAGAAGAGAGACGAGAGGTAAAGGTGAATGAGACTGATTAAATTATGCTGTATACATATACAAAAATAGTATAATGATTGCCGCTATTATGTGTAATTATAATTCATGAACAAAAAATAGTACTTAATGATCCTGTGGACATCAGTGGTGTCCTTTGTTATATCCACTTTTTTCTCTCATTTTATTTTAGTCTTCTCTCTTTTATTTGATGTCTGTGTTGTCAAATATGAAAGTGGTTATCTCTACTTGCTTTAAGGTTTCACTTGCATGAGATAACTATTCTTTCACTTTCAGCCTGTAGTGGCCTTTGCCTTTGAATTATGTTTCATGCAGAAACATATAGTGGATATTGATTTTTATCCAATCTGCCAGCCTGTGTCTTTTAATTAGAGAATTGAGACCATTTACATTCTGGGTTGTTATGAATAATTTTATTTTCCTGCCATTCTATTTATCTATCTATTTATATTTTTATTTATTCATTTATCTGTTTTTCTAATGAGATTATTCTTTTCCCTGCTTTCTTGTTTGTTTTATTTTCTTATGTATGTAAAATGAGGTGTCTTCTGCAATGCTACATTAAGCAACTGAGAATTTCTTCTCTTTATGCTTATCTTGGAAAGTTTATATTTCTTCCTTGATTCTCATAGATATTTTTGCTGGATATAACAGTCTTGATTAGCTATTATTTTATTTTATTTTATGTCTTCAAATATATTGTTCCAACCCCTCCTGAATCTTAAGAATTCTTCTGAGAAATCTTATATAATTCTGACTGGTTTTCCTTTAAGTGTGACCTGGAGTTCCTCTCCTGATTTGATATTTTAATTATAATGTGTCTTAGATTATTTTCTGGCCTTGGCTATTTGGTGTTCTAAATGCCTCAAGTATCCGGATGTCAAATTCATTCATGAGATTTGGGCATATTTCTGTTATTATTTTACTGAAAAATTTATCAATTGCATTAGCCTGTGTCTCTGGTACTTCTTCAATGCCTTTGAGCAATAATTTTGATCTCTTGATATTGTTCCAGAATTCCTGTATGTTCTGGTTAATCTAACACTAAATGAATATTCAAGGACAGTCTCCTTCAAGCTCTGAAATTCTGTATTCTATTTGATATAACCTATAAAACAGACTGTTTAACTGAATATTTTATATTATTTATTGATCCTTTAATTTATAAGATTTTTGTTTTGTTCTTTTTCATAATCTTTATCTCTTTATTTAAATGTCCTTTCATATCCTATATTTTCTTTCTTAATTCATCCCTTAGATCTTCATTTAATTCATTCATCATTTTCACAATCAAGTATTTGAATTATTTGTCCAGGATTTTATGTGTTTCAATATCTGTGGATTTAGTTCCTGGAGGGATTATAAACATTTGGATATGTCCAGTTGTTTTGTCTCTTCATGTTTTCAGATTTTCTGTCTAGTTTTCAAATCTGTGTAATGGATTTAACTTTTTCTATTATGTTAGGGTCTTTTGGTGAGCAGTTATCTGTTTACAATGTTCCCTGAGCTGGGGTTATATCTTAGCAAAAAAATACCTAGTCAGTATAATAAAAGTGCTAAGTTCATTGATCAGTACCACTTCAAAAGTAGGGAGTCACTAGCAACAGTAAGAGTAGCAACTTAATAGTATACTACATATCAACATATATTTTAAAATTTATTACTAATGATTTCTACAAATCTATTATCCAATGAGAAAGTGGATGAAAATAATATCACACACTTAAAAGAATATGCTCTCATTTTCTTAGAAAGATATACACGAGTATTTTACAGTAAAAATGTTTAATTACTGGCAAAGGAATTTATACTACACCTGTCAAAAAGCTTTCACAGTAAACCTACTTATAGTTGTATCTGTTATAAATACCTAAAAGATTATGTATGTTCATTTTAAAACTTTCTTAAGAACTCTTGTTGACCTTAAGGGAAAGTTGATGAGAAGGCATATCACTTTCTTTATAAATTTCTCCATTAATTTATAAGTAGAAGATACCATTAAGCATTTTTAGATACCTTCCCAAGTATGATTTTGTGTTTAGTGACACACTGGAAAAATATACTTAGGACTCTAGGACAGTGATAGAAAAGAACTTTTGTTTTAATAATGAAGTGATATTGGTTTTTATTTTATTTTTGCCTGTGTACCTGGAAAACAAGTTTATTCCATGTTAACATTTGTGAAATAATTTGTAAGTAATAGGGATTATATCCCAGTAAATAATAATTCTCTAGTATTTCTATAAGAAAAATGAAATGTAATATAGATATGTAGTAATAAAGCTATCTAAAACCACAGTTTTATTTTGCTCATATTATTCTGTGAATTCTTATATAATAATTTATCTTCTAAGGAGTAAACTCCCTGCATCTGAAAAATATAAGCATCTGAGATAAATGGCCATGTTTCATTTTTATGTCTTAGTAAGCTCAAGATGACACCTACTTGAGTGAAAAATTTATGGTCATGATCTCCCCTTGAGATACCAAATAATACTCACAATAACATATTAAAGCAAATTATATTTTCTTGCACAGATTTATGTTTTAATGTGATTATCAAAGTCAGACTTCATTATGTTTTGGTCAGTCTTGCTCATATTTTACTCTTCTCTATCAGTTTCCAGAATTCAACTTGTTAAGTACCTGAGTGATGACAAGATAGTGAGACTCAAAGAGATGTCTCCAGCCCTCAGTGAGAAACATGACTCTCAAACAAACGTAAAGGAAAAGCACAGCAACAACCATTCTTCAGACCCCAAAGAGGAGGAAAACCATGGAAGAAAAGCCAGCCGTAAAATTTCTTTCTACAAGAGCCACTACAAGAACTATAGATATGCTCATAGTTTTCAGAGTTCTGGGTCTCAGTTTGATCTTATTCATCCAAGTGCTGAGGTTTACTCCTCTGTTGTTGCAGCATCTCTTTGCAGTCAAACTTCTATAAGCCCTAACCCTGTTGTATACCCTAAGACTCAAAGAAATAACATAACTTCTGTGGATATGGGAGCAAAAAGATGCTTCAAATGCTTTATGGAAATCACTGACTCTCCTTTTCATCAGTGTGTCATGAATTCTGAAGATGATTCTGACCCTGACTGTCCTTTACATCTCCAAATTCCTTTGGATTCTAAATATTCTCTGAGCCCCAAATCTGACAGACACAACAAAACCTACCAATTCAGCCCTTTATCTCAGACCCTGGATCAAAAGTGTCCTGTGGACATCTACTGTCCTTTACACCAGGAAGATTCTAAGTATTCTTTGGGCTCAACTTCTTATTTACATTGTGAAAGTTGTTCAGCTTTCCAAAATCTCATATCCTCTATTACCCATACCTTTCCTATAAATTCCGAGAACATCATGGGTCAACATAGTACCTCTGACCCAGACACTGTCATCAACACTTGCAGTGTTACTGGAGTTGAAAGTGAACATAAGTTCAACCTTAATGTCAAACACAAAAATGAAAACAATCCTGACAATGAGATGGAAGATGCCAGTGCTAGAAATCTCAACAATAGTGCCAATGCTAAAGACAAGTCTCTTCCCAAAGATGAGAAAATCCATGAAACTGACACTAACTCTGAAGACGAGACAGATGCTGAAGATGAAACAGACCCTGAAGATGAAAATAACACCAAAGAAAAGAAAGATCCCAAAGATAAGTCTGATTCTGATGACAATGATCCCAAAGACAGCAACTCTGAATATGATGCCAATAATAACAATGAGTCTGATCCCAGTGGTGATGCTGGGCCTACAAGTGGAACTGATCCCAGCAGTGATGGTGACCCCAACGATGGAACCAACCCCAACAGTGAAACTGACCCTAACTTTGATAATACCACTAACAATGATGCTGACTCCAAATACAGCACTGATCCTGAGGAGGACATACACACCAATAATTCATACAGTGCTTCTGTCCTAGTTGATCAAGACAATACTGCCAACTCCAACAATGGCACTGATCCAAACTACACATCGGGGACTCAAAATAGAACCAACCCAGTCTATACTTCTGGTTCCAACAATGATGCTGGCCCTAGCAATGCCACCAAGCCTGGCAATGACATTTGCTCCAACATTGGCCCTGGCTTCCAGAATATCAGATCAACTATCAATAGCCTTGGCCCCAGTAACAGTGACTTTGGCCCCAACAATTTCCCCAACCCCAATAATACCCTGGTTCCCCATAAAGATCCTGACTCTAACTATAATGTCAGTCCTAGTAATGTTACTAGTAACAACAATGATATTATTCCTAACAGTGATACTGACTTCAGCTATGATGCAAGACCCACTAGTGCTACTGGCCACAACTATTCAGCTGCCACACACTGTGATTCAGACTATGATTATGTCCCAGAATTTACCCATGCTGTAGGGTCTAGCTTTGTAGCCAACCCAAACTATATTGACAGAAACAGCTATGCTGTTAAACACAACTCTGCAGCTAGCACTGTCAATTTCACTAATACCAACAACACCACTAGCTATAGTAGTGCTGTCAGCCCTAGGTATAATACTGGAACTAACTATGATGCAGACACCAACCATATCCCTAGATTTACTCATTTAATTGACTCTACCATTGTTGTTAATACCAATTATAATGCTATAAATATGCCAAATGCTCATAATTCTGCTAATACAAGCAATAATCTCTCTGGTCCTGAATTGGAAATCAGTTCCAGTACTTCTGTTCCTAATATTATTTATGGAAACTCTCCCACTTTTGCTGTTGGCACTAGCTGTATTTCTACTCCTAAGAATTTGACCACTTCTAAATTTTCTGATTCATTTAATCCCAATTTTGATGACCAAAAATATCAGATTCCCTTCAAAGTTTCTGCTTTTTCCATGGACTCTACAACTTTTATACCTGACATTGAGTCCAAGGATTTCCTTGATGCTAAGGAATCTGGTTTTTCAAAAGATTCCTCTGGGGTACAGAATACCATTGACATCAAGGATCATGACAGTTTAAATGTTCACTACAATCCAAATATTACACTCCCTAGTTTTGATATTATAGTAGAAGCTGAACCACCAGATGTTGTGAAGTTTGCCATATCATCAGGTGCTGTGAATCAATTTTTTAAGGTAAGTTTATATCAATGCAGATTTTTTATTTCTTCTCCATTTTCTATAATTTGGAGTGTTTATTGAACACAATCTAAAATTTTATTTTTATTTAGTTGTATATTCAAACCATGGAAGAGAGTGAACAAGTTGTCTGATATTATTTTACCTTTGACCCCTGGCACCAACAATACAGTTTTCCATTTGAAGGATTCATTTGTTGTATACTTGGCAAATAGCAAAATGACTTTGTTTGCATGATGGCTGACTGGTCTATTCTATCAAGGGTTGAATAGCTCATAAATCTTGTCAAGTAATTCATATCAAATGTTTCTTCTAGAACTCTGAATTGCATGCAGAAATTAAGACTGATAAGTGTTTGGTAAACAATTTTTGACAAGATTCTTTTTGACAAAACTTTACCACCATGTTGCCATCAGGCCAAAATTATTTTATATACATTGAAATTTATACTCTTTTAGTCATGATAGGTAAATGCATTTAGTTCAGACTATAATGTTTGTGTACATAAATTTTCAAGTTGAAATAATTATTTTACACTAAAATACGTAATTGAATGCAATTTTACATTTAGAATGATACATAGATTTTTATAAACATAATGGGAGTGCAAAATTGGTAGCTCCTTAATAGAAAACAATCCTGTAGCATTCCTAAGAGACTACATCTTCTTGTAATTACCTAATATGACTTTACACCTTTTTCTTTGCTAACTTAAATAAAGATGACTAGTAGTAATAAAAATAATATTGTTCAAATATAAGCCTTCCTATTAAAGTTGTTTCTCACAAATGGAACTTTGCAGGATATGAAAGTATTTAAAAATGTCTTATCTCTTTGGTGTTTTAGCTAAATGAGTATATAGTTATAACATGTTTTAGCTTATGAGTTTTAAGGAATGTAGTTATCATTTTGAAGTTTGAATCATATTACCTAAGAACTATGTTTCTTAACTAGAAGTAACAAGATAAAAGCTACTTGCAAAAATACATGCCTTTCTTCTCAAAAGCAACTTTTTTTCAAATGTAAGGTATTTATATCCTAAAATACCATATCAAAATAAGTTTATAATAAAATATCTGTTCAAATATATATTATGCCCTGAGTACTTGTTCCAGTCTCTTGTCCAGGACTAGACAAAGGAAATATTGGCAACCAATTATTTTATTTTTATAGGAGATGGACAGAACTTCACAATAAATTATGAATAGCTTGATAATTAATGCATTTCTATGCCTTCACTAACAAGGCAACTTCGGTAAGAATGAATGATCGCCTTCCCATAGAGCTTTGGTATTTCTACATTTTCCTCATTTATTATTTGTGTTCTTATGTCTTTCACAAAACAACTATCATGCAGAAAACAAGGACCCTTTCCTATTCAATAAAGTAAGAGAAGCTCACTCTGAATGAAATAAAAATTTTATACTGAACATAATCTGCCAATCCAACATCATAATACATAGGAAAGCCACGTACACCATTTTATTCATTCTTTCCAAAGACATTTAATAATTAAACAGTGTAGCAGGCTCAAAAATACAGAGACTCAATGAAGAACATAGTTGCTGTTCTCTGAAGAACTCAGAGTTTATTTTAACAACAAGTGATCATTTGTGAGTAGGAGTTATAGGAAAACAAATTAAGTGTCCTCTCACTAAGGTTCCAGAATGCTTAGAAACAATTTATATGTTCAGATCCCATGTCACCAATATATTTAAACTAGTTGGGAATATATATCACCAATGTGTTTGAATTAGTTGGAAATGTATGTGTATAGGTTATCATTCTGAGTTGTACTTTTCAGGGAAAAATATTAATTTCTGAAATTATCTTTTCGTAAGGTTAATATTGAGTTCAGTGGTATTAGAACAATATTACTAAGAGTCTAATATAATTTAATAAGTTATCTGATAACTTTTTAAATTTTACAGAAATATCAATTCCATATTCAAGGGGCTAGATTAAAAGTAAGTGTACTTTTCTTAATGTTAGATTGTGCAAATGACTTATATTCATAAATAAAATTTACTTGATTTAATCAGTTTAATTCTTTGACAGATTTCATTCTACTTGAAAAGAATTGAAATAGGGCCATTCAAAGAGGTAGCCATTTTTTATTTATGATAGACTTTTACAACAAGAATGATTCAGTAATGACACTGAAGAGAAAGACAGTTTTATATAAAGTGGCTTATTACAACCAGAGTTTTATAAATGTGGATTTATGTAGGCATTCTCAGAAGTGAATGTGAATCAAATTTGTCCAGCTTTTTGTAATAAAGTTCTTCTACAGTATCTTGAATATTTGAGGAAGCCTAAAAATAAGTCTTAAGTTAGGAGAGGCTAATCTCTTCAAAAGGAAGATTGGCTGAAGTGTCCAAAAGTTGTGGGACTTTCATTTTAAAGTAGACTACCAAGTGACTCATTTCCTTCCTGATCAAGTAGCCATGGAAATACATAAATAAATTTAATTATTCTGCTTAATTTTCATTGAAATAAATCTTCGTAAACTCAATCTTTGGGAAGGAAAACAAGACTATCCACGTTTTACAGATAATCAAAGCAATGTCATTCCAAATAGTTACTTAATTAAATATATTCACGTACAGATAAACAAATTTTTCCTTCTAGATTTTAAAGCTAGGAGGTATTTGGTGCATTAACACAAATGTGGTTATAATAAACCAGCTGCAGAATCTGTAATCTGTTATGTTTTTCAGGCATGCAAATAAAAGAGGTAGCTGCTTGTATTCCATTTTCTTTGCTTAGAGAAACAAATGGTAGACTATATTTTTCAAATAAGTATGAGTTTGGGTATATTTATTATCAAAGATGATAAATGTGAAATTATTATTACAAAATTCCAGTTTTTGCCTCTCATGAGTCATGTCTTCCAATTTCCCTCTAAAAATACCCAAGTTCAAAGTGAAGACCATCTTCATAACTGTCCCTATTGCAGAAAATATGTGTCAATGACCTTTTTTCTATGTGAATTTCAAAGTCATATATTTCCCTGATTGGTTAGAGACTTTTGATACAATAATTCCTAAAGAAAATGAAAAAAAATATGAGGATATGAATACAGCAATAATGAGCATATTGGAGATTAAGGCGAGGAAATTGTGGAATAATAAACATGCTTACTGAAATCTTAATTTTATCATATCATTCAATATCAACATATATTCTGAGTAATTAAATCCATTTGTAATTAAATTATTTTTCAGTATTATCCTTTCAATTTCCTGATATGTTTCTATCCCATTTTATACCCTCACATGTCTCCAAGCTCTTCTAAGTCAACTGTACTACATGATTACTAACTCTGGAAATAGCTTCCCAGTATATTCTCACCACCACCCTCTCATAAAGAGCCTATCTATACAAGCACGTGCACACACACACTATGCACATGTGCACACGCACACATGCACACACACAAACACACATACACATATCAGGTAACTTCCCCCGATTTGGGATTGTATTGAGTACCACAGTCACATGAGTTTATATTGTGATTTTTAATAAGAACAATTGAAATATAAACAAGTAAATTTTAAATTAATTTCTGATGTATAAAGTACTTTTTATAATACGGAAATATCTAGGTAAGTAGAAAGCAAATTGGAATGACAAGAGAAACAATTTTCTTATTTCACCTCATAAATGTTATATCCCCAGTAATAGAAACTGTTTACAGCCAAAAAGACTATACAGTGTTAGATAATTAGGCAAGCTAAATTTTGTTTAGGCTCCAAAAAGATAATTTTTAGGTAGTTGTATAAGGTTCTGAACCAGAAGAAAGCACTAAGATTGTTAACTGTGAGGATTTTAAGCAAAATATCAGAAAAAATCAATATGATTTTTTTCACTGCTTCTTACTTCCCTTGAATAGAGTTTGTTAACAGAGTATAATGTGACATAACAGAAACTGAGGTAAGATCATTGTTGAAATTGAAGAACTGGATAAAATTAAGGGTAAATCTTCAAGCATCCATTTAATAGCATTTAGGGAGCACTTATTATCTAATACAAACTTATATTTTACATGCATTAGCTCATTTAATCCTCACAATTCTATGAAGCTACATTACTATCCCTATTTTGCAGATGAGGAAACTGAAGCATAGTAACCTTTTTTAAGATCACAGTTACAAAGTGGTAAATAATCAGAGTATACAAATAAATATTTAGAGTTAATTTTATATGTTAAAATAACATGTAACTGTAGGTCTGAAAAGTAGTAAATAATGCATAAACCTGGTTTAGCAGACACTTAAGCTGCAAAATGAGCATTACTGTGTCTCCATCTTAGTATGTTAAGAGTGTATTATTCTTGATTGTCAGGCGATCAGAGTAGGTTTCTTGGGCAAAAATTTGATCCTTTCAAGGGTCATGATATCTGATATTTTCTGCCAAATATTCTATTTAAAGTACTCTAGGGATTAGACAAAGGGGAATGAAGGGGAGAGAGGGCATAGGAATAAGAAAGACAGTACAATAAATAAAACATAACTTCCCTATATTCTTATATGAATACATGACCAGTGTAACTTTGCATCATGTACAACCAATTAAAAAAATGGGAAGTTATACTTCATGTACATATGAAACATCAAAATACATTCTAATATCATGTATAACTAAAAAGAATTTAAAAAAATATATACCTAAATTTACAAAAAATACTCTAAGGATAAAAAATACATTTTTCTCTCATTCCCCCTTTTAATTTTTCTTTTAAAATTTTCCATCTTATTGTTGCATTATAGTCATATATAATAGTGTGGTACTTTATTCTATATTCATACATTAACATAATTTTCTCATTATCATTTCCTAGTTACCTTTCATTTCCTTTCTTCCTTCCCTCCTCCATAAACTTGCTCTATTCCACTGATCTCCCTTCTATTATTATTATTATTATTATTATTATTATTATTATTATTATTATTA